TGTGGTGTTCGCTTGTTTGGGAGGGGGGAGCCGCGGCGGCTGGAGATGGGGGTTGATCAGGGACACTGGAGATGCGTTGCTGGTTGTTCACAAGTGGAAGCGGGTCTGGATGTGCCGCGGGTGGTCCTGTGCTCCTCTCGTCGGCGCCTGTTCTCATTTCAAGCCAATTGTCTGCATTTTAGCAACAAATGCAATAGGAAATGAGGAGGAACGAGCTCCTGCTGTGGAGTTGTTGCTTGTGGAGCAGACTGTGGAATTGCTTGGGTGGTAGAGGAGGAAAGAAATTTCCCAGAGAATTTCCCAAAATCTGAATTGATTTTTAAATTATTTAATTTCTAAGGCTGAGACTCTAGTCTTGGCACGGAATAGTTCCCCCCCCCCGCCGAGTCAGTCGTTTGTCACATCAGCGTGACTGTGGGCTCCGTGTGAACCCCCCCCCTGTTTCCCAGGGCAGGGTGGGTCAGAAGAGCAATCCCAGCGGTCCCTCCGGATTTGCGGACTGTGTGCCTTGTTTTACTGTGTCAGGCAGCAGCGTAGCCAGGGAGCAAAGGAAGGACGGACGGGACAGCCTGAGGCAGCTGTTGGTTGCTCCCGCCCGTCTTCCTTGGGACTGAGGGGACACGGGGCCGTTCACTTCGGGGCCGTTCACTTCTGCTCTCTGCCGGGGTGCGATGCCCGCTGGTTGCAGTGTGGGTGGTGGCAGAGGGCAGGGAGCTCCGTGGTGCTCTGGTTACAGGGCAGCACCCCGCACCCCTGTGCTGTGCGGAGGCCTTGGGGAGGCCGGGGCTGCAGAGCGCGTGGCCAGTGCCAGGCTGAGGAAGGGCTGACGGCGGCAAGGCTTTCCCCCTGTTTTATGGCTTGCACGGGGACGGGTCTGCAGAGGCACTTTCCCTCTCGCTGTGTACAGAAGGCATAGCACATGGCTCGCTCCACCGCTGGACAAAGGGACAGCTGTCCAGAGAGGGGGGGTTTGCTTTTGAGGAAGCTCTTGCCTTCCTGCGGAGGATGGGGTTTGGCCGTGTCTT